CCCCAAAACCCCAAAACCCCAAAACCCCCAATACAACATTAGTCTAGTTAGAAAAATAAGGATTGTAATTTTTTATAAAATACAAAATTAATATGATGGGGAGCATCAAACTTGATTTTCTAGAATTAAATTCTTTATGAATTTTCTACCTATTTCTATTCGCCATAAAAACCCTTGATTGTCTGGAAGTTTCCGAATGATAAAGACTATAAATTTAGATCTGTAGGTTTTTGTATAGACCGAAGTGATTGAATTTGCAGCAAGAATTTAGGTGTTCAAGGAGTTAAAGTTATTTAAATCCAGGACTTTTACAGCCTTCTAATTAGCCTCATTTAGAATCACCAGTGAGAGCTTGTCATCTGATAGTCTCAAAAATACCGGTACTTTGTCCTCATTTTGTAACTAATTGACCATGAATACCTGATCTTTTGATTCAAACTCCAAATCAATTTATTGTAAATCAACGCGATTAGAAACATGTACCATAGTTTTTTTTCTATCAAAATCGTGATAATAGTTACAAACGTAGTTTCGATTAATCTGCGTGTTTAGGATTAAATTCCCTATATTCAAGACATGAATCTTATGCTTTAAAAATAGAAAGGGGTATTCGTACACCCTCAGCTCATAAAAGCATATATCCTTGAAGTCTCTGAGGCAAAGTTCATTTTTATATGTTTTACAGTTACTAACCTTCTAAAACTAATTTATAATCTAGTTTTTAGGCAAGAATATTGTTTATTCTACAGTTAATGTGTTGATATTAAATATTTGGATTTTCGATACTTTTCTGTACCAAATTAGGAATAAATTTTTATTAATCTTTACAACGTTTGGTGTTCCTAAGGTATCAATCATCAGAAATCTGTTATATCTGTGTTTCGCATTATAGATCAAGAATGCTTTATCGAATATAGTCATAAATTATTTGTCATCAATATGGACCCATTGAAAGATAGTGAATTTGTATCATTTAAACAATTTAAGGTTCTTCTAAAGATAAGTATAGTTATCACCATCTTCAGTGGAAACATTAAAAGAGCTACTTCTTATTACTTAAAAATTTTTGGGAAACACAGGCAAAACACCTTGCATAACTTTAATGTTGCCGTACTAAGATTTTTCCTTAAATCTTAGGGTATACCTGTTTTCCATTTATTAAAATTCAGGATAATTTATTACTATGATTAGGGACTTATAATACTTATTTTTGATTCTAATGATACCTATTATTTCTACTCTTTATGTGCAAGACAATTTCATCCACGGGGTTTTGGGGTTTTGGGGTTTTGGGG